TTGGCTCTGGATCCTGCACTTGGCTCGTCAACATCTGAACTCCAGTTCTTGGGGCTTGAGCCAGCAGCCTGCTGTCGGACCTGCCTATCTTGGGTTCGTCAGCCCCTGCAACTACATGAGTCAGGAGAAGCCTCCAGCCTAATGCCTGACCCATGGACTTAGGACTTTCCAGCCTCTACAACCACGTGAGGCATTTCCCTGATACAAATCTGATATAAACCTCTCTGTCTATATTTCTGTGTCCAGGTTATAGAGGAATTTACCCATATTCTAGTACACCTGTGGTTTAATTTTTTACATTTAGATCTCCGATCATTTGGAATTGTTCTTGGCTATAGTATGAGGTACGATCCAATATTATATATTTTAAATGGATATTTAGTTGCCCAGCATCATTTATTAAAATTCCACCTTTACCCAAGTGGTTTGAGATAACACCTTTATCATATACTAAAACTACATATATACTTGTGTGGATTTCCTGACTTCCTTTTCACTTCCACTAGTGTATTTGTCTACTCATACCACACTGTTTTGATCCTGAAGGTTTCCTAGCAGGTTTTAATGTCTGGTAAGGCTAGTACTCTGTTTCAGCTTTTTCTTTTGAGTTTTTTCCTGGATATTCTTTTTCATGTGAACTTCATAAAAGAGGATGTTCCTTTTTTTAAAATTTGAATTATGGTAAATTTATAAATTACCTCAGGGATAACTGATAACCTGATGCTAATCTATGAATATATTTTTTGAGAAAAATCAAAGAAATTTTAACACATATTTGACATTAGATGCTACAAAGCTATCAAAACTTCATTAGATATGACAGTGGTATTTTGTTTATGTAAGAACCCACCTTTAGTTTTTAGAGAAATGTAATATATTTAGTGATAAAACATCATATTAGTGATTAGCATTGAAATCATTCAGTACAAAAGAGAAAAAGGGAAGGATGAGGCAAGTTCTGCCCATTGGGAGGGTTTCCCTCCACCACTGTCTTTCAGGGAGGTCCCGGAAAGTGGCTGTAGTGCTGCCACTGTCCACTTTTGAGTGGTGCCTACGTATCATGCAGAACCATCTGGAAACCAGGCATGAGTTTTCTCTTCCTTAGTCTGCTGATTGTAAGGAATTCCCCATGAGGCCATAGGTGCAGACTGGGAGGTGAAAAGTAATGTGACAGAAGTGAAGACCATGGGCATTTGAGCCACTTGCTCATGCAACTTACTTGTGCCTGCAGGTCCTGCACAGGCCCAATCTCGTATATACCACTTCCATTTAATGATGGAGTGCTGCTATGCAAATCTACCTTTATGACTCTGTGGGTCAGAGAACACCAAGTTCATGATGGGCAGGTCAGGCTGCATAGTGACTTGGTGGCCCAAGGTTAAGTGTTCAGACTCTACTAAGGCCCATTAACAAGCCAACAGCTGTTTCTGAAAAAGAGAGTAGTTACTGGCAGAGGATGGAGGGCTTTGCTGCAAAATGCTAAGGGTCTGAGCTGTGATTTACCAGTAGGAGTCTGCCAAAGACTCAAAACAGCATCTCTATCTACCACTTACACTTCAAGCACCATTGAATCAGCCAGATCATATGGCCCAAGTGACAGAGAAGCTTGCACGAGAGTCTGAACCTGTTGCAGAGCCTTCTCTTGTTCTGGGCCCCACTCAAACTAGCAACTTTTCGAGTCACCTGATAAATAGACCAGAGTAGCACACACAAATGAGGAATGTGTTGCCTCCAAAGTTCAAAGAGGCCCACTAGGCATTGTGCCTCCTTTTTAGTTCTGGGAGGTGCCAGATGCAATAACTATACTTTAGAAGGAATATATTGACATGTCCCACACCACTGGACCCCTAGAAATTTCACTGAGGTAGAAGGCAACTGAATTTTTGTCTGATTAATTTCCCACCCTTTAGCACACAAATGTTTTACCAGTAAGTCCAGAGTCATTGATACTTCCTCCTTACAATCAGCATAATGTCATCAATGAAATGGACCAGTGTGATGTCTTGTAGAAGGAAAAGGTCATCAAGGTCCCTGCGGACTAAATTATGACATAGGGCTGGAGAGTTGATGATACTGCTGAGGTCAGACAATGAAAGTGTATTGCTGGTCTTGCTAGCTGAAGGTAGACTGCTTTTTGTAGTCCTTTCCATATAGATAGGTCTGAAGAGAGCATAATGCTCAAGGCAGACCTTTTACTAGTTAAGCTAAACGGTTATTTGGTTTTAAGGTGATTTCAGAGGATATTTTTGGTTTAAGGTTTAAAGATTATCTAAGGGCAATAGTTTCAGGGGTTCATCCACCCTCCCTAGCTCCAGAAAGTCTAGAGTCTATGAGAATCTGAAATTTTCCTTGTTTTGGTCAGTATTCTTCTACGGAACCTTGATGAAAATATTCCTAACATCTTCTTAACTTCAAATGGCATTATAGCTTAACTAGTAAAACAATTCTGCCTAGAACATTATTCTCTTTAGAACTGTCTATATGGGATCAAATTCACTTCAACAACTCAAAAGATTATATAGGAACCTTAGGGGGCAGTGAGTTTATGTTAATGAGGGAGCAACAACTGAGAAAAGGAAGCCGAGAATGGTTGCACAACTCAAAAAATTAGTATCACTGAACTGTACATGTAAAAAATTTGAATTGGTATATACTCTGCTTTGTATATTCTCAGCAACAGCAACACAAAAAAAAAAGAAAAGAAAATTACACATTCTGTTTGTTTCTTTTTACAGAAAGTAACACAAGATGGATAAAGATGAAAGTAATGGAGATTGATCACCTAAGGGGTTATGTGTGGCATCTTGCTAGAAGGATATGGGAAGGAGAAACATTTCTCTGAGGTTACCTTTTTAATAGTTTTTTCACTTTTGGAACCATACTAATGTTTGACATGCTCAAATAAATAAAATTAAATTAAAAAGATAGTAAGAAAACTCTAAAGTAGAATACAAAAAGAAACAAATCAAATTATATTTCAAATGAATAACATGACCACAGCAAACAGGGAGAAAACAACCCAATTAACCTCTGAACAGAGAACTTTGACCATGTATTCAGTTTAAAGCAAGGGTTGGCAGACTACAGCCCAAAGGACAAATGTGGCCTGCTACCTATTTTTGTAAATAAAATGTTCAGAACATAGCCAGCTGTTTATGTATTGTTTGTGGCTACTTTCATTCTGTTATGGCAGAGTTGAGTATTTGGAACAGACCATGTAGTCTGCAAAACTTAAAATATTTGCTATCTGATCCTTTACAAAAAAGTGGGCCAAATCCTTGTAAATTGACCAAAAACAAAACAAAACACCCTGTACATAAATCTCGAACTACATTTTGTATATTTGTCTTTTGTAGGTATATGGGTCAACTATTCTGAAACCACTTTCTTTGAATTTTGAAATTAAGTAAATGAATAAATGTATTGATATTGGGAGCCAGGTTTCTAACTATTAGAGAAGGGAGATACAAATATAAAATGGGGAAGGCTAGAAAGAACCTGGAGCTAGACTGAAATTGGAGATATCAGAATAGATTTACGGTTTTCAAAATATTTGGAGATACATACACAAGCACACAGACACGTACATATACACACATACAACACATACACACCAGGTGTAATTTGAATAAATTCTGTATGACTGTAACAGTATTGTGCCATTAAAGAGCCCTGATGGCACAATGGTTAAGTGCTAGGTTGATAACCTAAATAACCCCCTCAGTGGCTCTGTGGGAGAAAAGACCTAGTGATCTACTCCCATAAAGATTACAGCCTTGGAAACCTTATACAGCAGTTCTATTCTGTCACATGCAGTCTCTGTGAGTTGAAATTGACTCGATCGCACCTAACAACAACATTTTGCCATTAAGTGTGCTGATTATGATAATTATACTGTGGTTAATGTAAATACAGTTGTTTTTTTGAAATATTAAGGGGTAAAAGGGCATGCGATGTAAAACAAAGTTTTCTGAGTGACCTCTGTAAATCTAATTGATCTTTAGTGAAATGACAGTTTTACTTACAACAGATTAGAATTATAATGAGTTTAAAAGTGCAAACAGATTGTCAAAAACTAAAACAAAGATCACAGAGGGTTAACAAAAAAGCCGAATAAGTGTTTATGAGTGAGCAACCTGTAATTTAGATTTGTTTCATATACAATGTCTATAACCATTATTGCATATTTTGATGAATTGAGTTCTTTCATATTGTATTTTATCTTCATTCTTTGAAAAAACAACTTGAGAGATTTTTCCTCTACACCTGAGGAGTTTCCTTTGCCCTAGTTTTCTACCCCAGAGGGTTTGTTACATCTCCTGGGTAAGCTGTAAACAACTTGGTTTTGATACTTTTTGTTTGGTCATGTGTCACAGCCTGCCCTGTGGTTGCTATGCACTTGCAGGGATTGGTCAGTAAACTATGCAAATGAAGTGTCGTGGCCTACCTGGGGGAGATTGATCAGTTTGTGACCCTGGTGGGAGCGCAGTGCCTTGAAATTGAGGAGTTTGTGTATGTAAACAGCCAGACCCACAGAAGTTTTTTCATACAGAAAAGCAGAAAGTGAAGCAGCAAGAAGAAGCAGAAAAAAGAAAAGAGAAGAGAAAAGAAGCAGAGAGGGGGGCAGCAAGGAACCTTCTGAAGGAGCTGAATCAATGTCAAGGGCTGTAACACTGAAGACAGCGAGAGACAGTGGCAGAGCTGGTGGAAACAGATGGCAAGGCCAAGAGGAGCCTGTCCTGAGAGGGCTGAGAGGAGACCTGTCCTCAGGGGCTGAGAAGAGCTGAGAGAGCTGTCCCGCACTAAAGAAGGAAGACTTTGCCTGTGTGCTTCCTGATCCTGAGTTGTACCGTGTTCCTTAGTAAACCACTTAACTATAAGTATGGTAGTGAGTTCTGTGTGGCCACTGCAACAGCTTATCAAACCCAGAAGAGAAGCAGAGAGTGCTGTGGGGAGGATGGCTGGTGTCAGAATTGGTAAAAAGGTTGGAGGGTGGAGGTATGTCCGACCTCCACCTCAAGGGAATCAGCTTTGCGGTGATCCTGATCATTATCCCCCCTGAAGTTGGAGAGGTTCAAATGATACTACTACACCATTTTCACACATGTACCTTCTCCTATATTTGGAAGCCTGCCAGATTGAGTGACTTTTTATGTCTTTCAGTCCCTTTTTACAATAAGAAAAGTCGTGAAGGAGATTTCCACATAGGAAACGGTTATTTCCAAGAAATTGCAAAGTGTTATGGGCAATATATATCAATGTAAGGCTCTATGGCTTAGAGATTTTTAGTAGTAGAAAAAGGCTAATTATAATAGAACCTGTTTACAAGGCAGAATAGTTTCTGATGCTTACCTGAGAAGTTCCTAGTCAGGCTTTCGTGTTGAAGAGGTTTTTGGTGTGGATTATCTGAATTGCAATATCCAAACTCACTGTTGTCAAGTCAAATCCGACTCGTGGCAACCCTATAGGTCAGAGTAGAACTGCCCCATAGGGTTTCTAAGGCTGTAAATCTTTATGGAAGCAGACTGTCACATCTTCTCTTGCAGACCAGCTGGTGGGTTTGAACTGCAGACCTTTTGGTTAGCAGCTGTGCGCTTTAACCACTGCACAACCAGGTCTCATTCTGGATTGCAGTAGAAAGTGTAATTTGTAAAAATGGAATATAAGTGAATTATTGGTGGGAAACAACTTGTGTTGTATGTATTATCAATTACAAGTATGGCAATAAGATGGTTGTTAGTTGCCATTGAGTCAATTCTGACTCATGGTGACCATATTTGTGCAGAATAGAACTGCTCCATAGGGTTTTCAAGGCTGTGACTTTTCAGAAGCAGATCACCAGGCCTGTCTTCCGAACCACCAACCTTTCAAGTACTTAATGGTGCCACCCAGCGACTCCAGCAATGAGAGAATGTCTATCATAAGAGAAAGAGAAGAGCCCAGGCAGCCCACTTATGGCTACTCTAACGGAAACCTTTCTCTCTTCAGCAGAACTGAAGCTAGAACTCCACCCCTGCTCCTCCTGCCTTCTGGCTGTCTCCTGTCAGCGATTCCTCAGCCAATACGTGCTTCCCATCTTCCCAGGCTTATGTGTGGAACATAACTTCCATCCGGGGCATTCCAGCCAAGGACATCAGAAGCAGCCAGAGCAGCCGGATTCTGATCAGAGCTGCTGGAGGGAAAACACAGAAGGTCAAGAGAGAGAAGAAGTCTCCAGACCCTTGTATGGGAGAATAGGGGAGAGAGGGACTTCCAGGGCATTCTCCAGCCCACCCCAAAGACAGTCAGCAAGCCCTAGAGAAGACAACACAGAGGTAGGAGTGGAGCTTAACTCAGCCCAAAGGGTAAGGTCTGTGGAAAGAGGCCAAGAATTGAAGAAATTAGAAACCTTAAGATTTGGAGCAGTCAGCTGTAGAGAGGATGAACCAGACTGTGGTGTGAAGTCAGACTTCATCACACACCAGAGGTTCCTCTTACAAGAGAAACCCTATGTTTACACTGAGTATGGGCGAAGCTTTAAACAGAAGTCACTTCTCCTTATGCACCAGAGGACACACCGGGGGGAGAAGCCTTACGTTTGTGGTGAGTGTGGCCGAGACTTTACTGAAAAATCACACCTCCTTATGCACTGGAGGACACACACAGGGGAGAAGCCACATGTGTGCAAGGAGTGTGGCCGAGGCTTTAGCCAGAAGGCAAATCTCATCACACACCAGAGGACACACTCAGGTAAGAAACCTTATGTGTGCCTGGAGTGTGGGCGGAGCTTTAGCCGGAAGGGTAATCTTATCACACACCAGAAGACACACACAGGTGAGAAACCTTACTTGTGTCTGCAGTGTGGGAGAAGCTTTAGACGTAAGTCAAGCCTCATCACGCACCAGAGGACACACTCAAGTAAGAAGCTTTATGTTTGCAGTGAGTGTGGCCAAGGTTTTAGCTGGGAATCAAGCCTGCTTATACACCAGAGGACACACTCAGGAGAGAAGTCATATGTGTGCAAGGAGTGTGGCCAAGGCTTTATCCGGGAGTCGGGCATCCTTATTCACCAGAGAACGCACTCCAGGGAGAAGCGATACGTATGCAAAGAGTGTGGCCAAGGCTTTAACCAGGAATCAAGCCTCCGTATACACCAGAGAACACACTCAGGGGAGAAGCCATATGTGTGCAAAGAGTGTGGCCGAGGCTTTATCCGGGATTCAAGCCTCCTTATTCACCAGAGGACACACTCAGGGGAGAAGCCATATGTGTGCAAAGAGTGTGGGCGATGTTTTAACTGCAAATCAAATCTCATCACACACCAGAGGACACACACAGGTGAGAAACCTTACGTGTGCCTGGAGTGTGGGCGAGGCTTTACCCAAAAGTCACACCTCCTTCATCACCAGAGGACACACACTGGGGAGAAGCCACATGTGTGCAAGGAGTGTGGACGAGGCTTTAGCTATAAGTCAAATCTCATTACCCACCAGAAGACACACTCAGATGAGAAACCTTACCTTTGCAAAGAGTGTGGGCGAGGCTTTAGGCAGAAGTCTGGCCTCCTTCTCCACCGGTGGACACACTTGGGGAAGAAGCCCCATGTTTGCAGTGAGTATGGGCGAGGCTTTAGCAAGGAGTCAGACCTTATTAGACACCAGAAGACACACTCCGATGAGAAGTTTTATGATTGCAGTGAGTGTGGCCGAGGCTTTAGACAGAAGTCAGCTCTCATCAGACACTAGAGGACACACTCAAATGACAAGTCTTATGTTTGCAGTGAGTGTGGCCGTGGCTTTAGCAAGAATTCAGACCTCATCAGACATCAGAAGACACACTCAGATGAGAAGTCTTATGTTTGCAGTGAGTGTAGGCAAGGCTTTAGCAAGAAGTCAGACTTTATCAGACATCAGAGGACACATTCAGATGAGAAGTCTTATGTTTGCAGTGAGTGTGGGCAAGGCTTTAGCAAGAAGTCAGACCTTATCAGACATCAGAAGACGCACTCAGATGAGAAACCTTACATGTGCCTGGAGTGTGGACGAGGTTTCAGCCAGAAGTCAAGCCTCCTTCTCCACCTGGGGACGCACTCAGGGGAGAAGCCACGTGTGTGCAAAGAGTGTGGGCAGGGCTTTAGCTATAAGCAAAGCCTCATTAGACATGAGCGCACTCATTCAGGAGAAGCCCTATGTTTGCTGTGAGTGTGGCCGAGGCTTTAACCAAGAATCAAGCCTCCTTATACACTAGAGGACTCACTAAGGGGTGAAGTTTATTTATGCTTCACGTGAGGACATCATTCCTTCTCATTCACCAGAGGACACAGAGTAGAAGCTCTATGTGTGCAGGGAGAATGGGCAAAATTTGAGAAAAAGGTACACTTCATTATACATCAGAGAACAGCTTTTTTTTTTTCAGGTGTGGGGAGAAGCATTATTTGGTGAGGGAGAATGTGAGCTGCTTTAGCGATAAGTTATACCAGAAGACACACTCAGTGAGAGAGGTATGTGGGCAGGGACTGTGGGCGGAACTTGATTCCAGTGTTCCTCCTCAACTGACTGAAGACAACATTTTGCCACCACAAATCACTGCATCACCCACCTCTGAGGGAGTTTCAGAAGTCTTCTGACTGCCTATACTCTGTATCAGGGTGACAGTGTCAGTAGTAACTAAATAGATTTTTAGTTACAAAATTGAATTTGGTAACCAAAATTCTGTAATCAAAAGGAACAGAAAATTAGAAAGCTTTACTTAAGTAATCTAAGAATGGTTGACTAGTATTTTCATACGCCAGTTCTCTCCCACGATTTGTTGTCTTTTCACTGTCATAAAATTTTTCAGTAAACCATAACTCAGGCTGTATTACTCATCTGTCCTGAAAAATACGTGGAATTCAAATTCACGCTCCAAGTTTCCTGAATGAATTCAACCCTTAAGAAAAAATGTCCTGAATACATTTATTGGGGAATCTGATCCTTTGCATGGGGAGAGGAGGAGTGATCTAGGTTTTAGAGACAGATGCCAGGTGAAGGGAGAGAATGTTTACTTCTCCAGGGACTCAATTACCGCTTTTCCTAACTGATCACTATTTTCTGTAACTACCTTCTGCTGGCTTCTGTGAAAGCTCCCTTCCCTGGTTTTCCTTTGTACTTTCTAGTCTCTATTTTGGTCTGCTAAATCTTTTTCCACCCATCGAAGTATTGCTGTTCCCTAATGCTCAATTCCCAGTCCTAGCTCTAGGGTCCTTTCTAACTATCCACTCTCCCTCACCTTCAAGCCAGCTTTCCAGAACCTTCTAGATTCCAGGGTCAGATCCTTTAACCATACCCAACCTGTTCTCCCAGTCTTGTTGCTTTGGACCTCTTGGCTACTTCATATGTCAGGTCAACAATGATAGGTCTACAGTCCCCTGAACACATTTCTAATACCAGGTGTAAGGACCTTTAGCCATGTCCTCTCAGCCCTCCGATCCTAGGACCCAGTCCTGCTAGTGACGCTCCCACATTATTCTAGTAACTGCTCTGAGACATCTAGCCATACCACCTCCATTGTTTCTCACTCCAAGGACCTAGCCCTTTAGTCACCCTCCTCTCTAGTGTTCCTCCGTCAAATGCTTGCAGAGTCCAGACAAGTCCTATTAATGAAGGAACCAAAACCAGGTTGGTGTGGGGGTGGGGGAGAGGCTGTTCTTTGGAGAATCAGGAAGCTCACACTCAAGTCAGTTCTTGGCATCTGTAATGGTTAAGATCATGTGCCAGCTTGGCCATGATTCTTTCTCAGGGGTTTGGCAGTGTGTGAGAGCAATATAAAATCTTAGGCAAAGAGCCCGTGCAGAAGAAAACACTCTTATAATGGTGAGCTAAGAATTTTTAGGGAAATTCATGATCAAAAGGGGGGAGTATGTGAGAGCAATGTAAAATCTGAGAACTTTGGTGTATCTAAAGTCCTGATTCAGGTCTGAATCAATTTTCCTTTGATGTACACCCCCCTTCGAGTTAACACCTATGTGATTATGCTTGTTTATATGGAGTATATAGAGTATATAAAGAAGAATGGGGCATCAGAATTGGAGGTAGGACTCATTAACAACCTGCATTATGCAGATGACACCACCTTGCTTGCTGAAAGTGAAGACAACTTGAAGCACTTACTGATGAAGATTAGAGACCCTAGCCTTCAGTATAGATTACCCCTCAACATAAAGAAAACGAAAATCCTCACAACTGGACCAATCAGCAGCATCATGATAAACGGAGAAAAGATTGAAGTTGTCAAGGATTTCATTTTACTTGGAACCATTCATTTTACTTGGAGCTACAATCAACGCCCATGGAAGCAGAAGTCAAGAAATCAAACGATGCATATCATTGGGCAGATCTACTGCAAAAGATTTCTTTAAAGTATTAAAAAGCAAAGATAGTTAAGGTCTAAGGTGCACCTGACCCAAGCGATGGTGTTTTCAGTTGCCTCATGTATGCAAAAGCTGGACAATGAATAAAGAAGACCGAAGGAGAATCCATGCCTTTGAATTATGGTGTTGGCGAAGAATATTGAATATACCATGGACTGCCAAAAGAACGAACAAATTTGTCTTGGAAGAAGGTACAACCAGAATGCTCCTGTCATGGATTGAATTGTGTCCCCCAAAAAATGTGTGTAGCAACTTGGCTGGGTCATGATTCCTAGTATTGTATGATTGTGTTATCTGATGTGATTTCCTTATGTGTTATAAACTCTACCACTATGATGAGATTGTATGTGATCTCCTCATGTGTTGTAAATTCTATCACTGTGATGAGGTTATACTGATG